GGGAATTGGCCTGCTGGGAACCGGTCTGCAACTCAGGCATGTGGCCTGACTGGGAATTGAACCTCGATTGTCTGGCTTGCAGGCCCGCACTCAATCCAACAGCATTATTTTTGATTGACTAATAGTTGGAATGAGATTTTAAATTTTTCTTGGGTTCTTCTATAGTAGTTTTGATTTTCTGCAAACTTTAGCATGTTTCTTTGCCTGACAACTCTGTTTTCTAATAAAATATTCAACAACATCTCCTGGCTTGTTTTTTCAGGGAGACATTCTACTCTGCCCAGATTTGGTTGGCTAAGTTATCAATAGCATGTGTTAGCTTGTCCGGGAGGCCCCAATAGAGTCTTTGTTCTGCAGGGGAAAAGGTCTTCTGTCATCTTGACAGCATATGCCTTTATTTTTAGTTTGCATCTTTAAAAGAATATTTAAAGGCTAGCAGGAAAAAATGACAGTTCCATGGTCCAAGAAAGTGTATACAGAAAGAACGTCTAGTTAGAAAATCAACTAGAGTGCAACTATTAGCAGCCAATAAAATACCTTCTGAGCAAAAAACCATAGTGATTTATTTATAAGATCTGAGAGGCAGAGAGAAGGTGCAGGAAAATAAATATTATCAGAACTTATTAGACTAAGGGTTTATTAAACATTAATTTTTGGACATACAAAAATTGAACATAATTAATGTATACGACTTGATGAGTTTGAAGATAAGTATATACCTATGAAATCATCACTACAATTTAAACCATAAACCTATCCTCCATCACTTCCAAAAGTTTCCTTATAGCATCTTATTATTATTATTCTTTTTTTGTGGCAAGAACACTAAACCTAAGTTTTACACTCTGAGCAAAATTTTAAGTGTATAACACAACGTTGTTAATTGTAGGCGCTGTGCTGTACAAGTAGATCTTAGGACTTAACTCTTCTTGTATGACTGAAACTTTGTACCTTTTGACTAATACCTCCATTTCCTAGTACACTTTTTTTTTTTTTTTTACTAATCAAAAGTTGTAGATGTCAGCCCTGAATGAGAATAAGTAAAAGATTGGTCCAACAACACCTCTTCATTGTGTTTCACCTAAAGACAGGGGAAAAATCCCTCTTTTCTTTAGGTAAGAAAGAACTTCTTGCGTGTAAAAACTTTGTATCTACAACACACACTAAGTATTAGTGTCTGGTCCATGGATTTGAAGATGGAAAGACACTGCTTGAGCTACGCCAAGCTACATGGTTACCCGAGGCAGAGAGTGTGCATGTATGTTTGTGTGTATTTTACCTCCTAGTTAGGAATGTATAAATCTTATTATCAGTGCTAGGCAGTTGGACATGGGAAGACATGACTGAAGTTAATCTAAACATATTTTGTGTTTAGATACTCATTTTTGGCTTAGTGAAAATGGCTCCTTGCAAGAGTGAAAACCATGTCATTATGCCATTTAAGTAAATACAGGATTACCTGATTCTGTACTGCTTTATAATTAAGGAATCTTTTTGGAATCTTCTCTTGATTATGAAACAATATAAATACTTCCTGTGACTTCTGAGAATATGAGGGCATACATATTCTCTCAATAGTAATGTTTTGCTTATATTAGTATAATTTGATGTTCTGTGTTTTCACATGAAATTTACTGCTTCCTAATTTAATAATGAAAATTCAGCACACGGAGAACATCAGAGATGTTATGAGGCATAAAATTAAAAGTACAATGTTCCCATGTACTTCAGGTATGTAAAGGAGGAATGGAGATGGCTTTAAAATAGTAAAATAGTTCTTGTAGTTGTAAAAATGTGTTGTTTTCCACAAATGATGGAGACACTAAGATGAATGAACCCATTTAATTTTTTTTTAAACAAAACAAAAACTAAACTCATGGGTATAGAAAACAAATCGGTGATTGCCAGGGGCCAGGGGTGAGGGGCTAGGGGTAGGAAAATGGATGAAGGGGCTCAAAAGGTACAACTCCTAGTTATAAAATAAATCAGCCCTGGGGATGCAATGCACACAGCATGGTCACTATAGTTAATGATACTTCATTGCATATTTCAAAGTTGTTAAGAGACTAGGTCTTAAAAGTTATCATATAGGAAAAAATATTTTCTTATAACCATGAAAGATGATGGATGCTAATTACACTTATGGTAATGATCGTTTCATGACATATGCAAATAACACATTTTTTAAAGGTTATTTTTATAGCTAGACACTTGTCACAAAATCTCTTCTAAAAAGTGTACTGTCAGAGTAATTCTTAAGGAGTTTATTGAAAAAGAAATTCTGTGACTTCTTTGTAGCTTGTTTTTGTTATTAAATGTGGAAGAGGACTGACTGGCCTTGAAAAATAACTTCACATATACTTCAAAATAGCAGCAAATAATCTATTTGCATTCTGTTAATCCCTCTCTCTATTTCTACCTCTTTATTTCTCTATTTCTATCTCTCAGTGTTAGATACATAGAAAGATATGTAGAACTCTTTGTTCTCTATGTGTATATGTGTGTGTATACAGGAGTTGGCAAAAGTAGGTTTACAATTGTTCATATGGAAATAATACAATAATTAGTAAATAATTCAAGAATAGACTGTGTTTTGAGTAAGCCTACTTTTGCCCACCCCAGTGTGTGTTTACATTATAGTGATTTTTTAAAAGATTTAAAAAATTTATTTATCTTTAGAGAAGAAGAGAAGGAGAGAAATATCAATGTATGGTTGCCTCCCATGCGTCCCTTGCTGGGAACTGGCCTGCAACCCTGGCATGTGCTCTGACTGGGAATCTAACCGCGATCCTTTGGTTCGTGGGCCCACACTTAATCCACTGAGCTACACCAGCAAGGGCTATAGTGATTGTTTAATCTTTAGAATCATATCTAGATTTCCGATCTTTTAAAGTTTTTTAAAAAATAATTTTCTTTGTTCTCTTTGTGTTCTTTTTAAATTTTCATGTTCTATTCAGTCTTAGAGCTGAAAATAGATTATTCTGAGAGTAATCATTTTCAGCAGTGCTGAATAATTATAGATTAAACCTTTACACTTGTTCGCATTATTGTATGACCTTGAGGAAGTCACAAGTTATTGTGTTCTGTTTTCATAACTCTAATCTTATGGTTCCTTTAAAAATTAAATTAGAATATATAACTCTGGCCACCTGGTATGTGGCCCTCACCCATTTCTCATTTCTTCCTACTCTTGTAACTGCATTCATTTCTCTTTTAGACCATCATTCCCCTGAGTTTTAACTACATCTGTGTTGTGTTTAGATAGTTTGGTTTATATTTGAAAAAAAGTCACTGTATAAACAAAAAAGAAAGTAAAGACACCAACCTAGGATGGCCAATGTCTTGATGTCTTGTTCTAGAGAGAATCCTGTGCAGTCTGGGTCAGGAAAAGGAGAAGGAGTCTCAGTGTTCGTCGTGGAAAATGTGTCCTTTCTGTTACCTGGAATTTAAATGATTGTTTGTCTTATTTTCTGTCCACTTATTCCCCCTACATAAAACAGTCTGACACTTCGTTAAACAAGTGTTAAGCCATATAATCTGTGGTTCAGAATTTCTTGTTGTATACCCAGTAAAGGAGTTGATAAAATGCTGAATTGCCAAGAACAAGAAGGAAAGATCTTGAACTTTTACTTTTTAAATCGTTAGTTGCATTGAAGCTAGTCAGTTGAATGTATTCCTTTACACTCTTGATTTTTAAAAGTCAGGGTTTTTATTCCTTGAATTTTCTATGAATAGGAGAAACTGGTGATATTTTTGGAATTTACCTACATGGCTTTCCTTTTCCTGAAATTGAGTTGCAACACCCAAGGTAAGCCATCTACTTTTCTTCACTCAACATCCGCTCTAATCCAGTTTCTGCTTCCCATACCCCAAGTCCAAGTCTGCACTGAAAAATGAGGAAGGTCAGTCAAAAGCAAGATCTGAAGTTCTGAAGGGAATGACTTCATGGCATCTCCTTAGAAAACGTAGTAATAGGCATTTCTTGGGGAGCAAACCCACCACTGTGGCTACCGGCCGTCACCAGAGCCGTGGTCCATTTTTTTTCATCATGGCAGGCTAGAAACCTTACCTTTCTTTATTCCACCTTTTCTCTCTGAGTCATCATAAAATGATGAAACTTCTGCCTGAAAGATGATTCTAAATTATCAAACAAATGAGTTAAAGCATCCAGTTAGTAAAAGTTTGCTCGGACCTCATCTAGCACCATCTAGATCTACCTGAAGAAGAGCTCTGAAGTCTTCAGGTATTTCCCTTCCTGCCTGAAAGGTTGCGGAGTAAATCTCAACTAGGAAAAAATGTAATAACTGATAAAAGCATATAGGTAAGCCACTTTCTTATATCAAAATTTTGAATTAATTACAAAGAGTAGTTCACCTTTTAGCGAATGGTTAAGGAATTACTCTTAAATTTGTCATCAGTTTTTAAAAACAATGTTATACTGTTAAACTTTTACTATATACTGTTTAAAATTAATGATACGTCAAGTAAACAGACAGTTAAATTTTTTTTATTTGCTTCAATTTTTATTTTTGAAAATATACACATACATTTTTTTGCTTTGAATTTAATTTTACATGGCAAATAATTTTAGGTCCTCCTAGACAACACTGATCTATTTTTGTTTCAAAACACATTTCATTTCAATTATTTCATTATATAACCTCTGCTACAATGGCATGGTTTCCTCTGCTGTCTGACGATGCAGCGAAATTCCCATTTCTGATAAGGTGGGCTTTTAAGAGGCAAAGTTAAAATGCTTTGAGAATCCTGAGTGTACATTTGACCCAGGAATAAGAGTTATGACTATTGACTTCACTTTTGTGTATAAACGGAGGCACAGATCAACTGTGGGTGTGCTACCTCCCACAGAAAGCATCTTTTGAAAAGACGGAGAAGAGGTGCCCAGTGATAATAGCAAGGGGACTTCCTCAGGACCCAGCAGACTGCTCCACAGGGTCAAGTGTCCCTCACCTCAAGACAAGTGCACTGGCGAGCCTTACTGCAGCAACAGCCTTGTCTTGGAAGAGCAGACTGCCTACACTTCTCAGGCTATCCTAGCACAGGCCTTCCTGGTAGTCAGGGCATCTGGGCCAGGGAAGAATCCTAGATGTAAGAAATTTTAGGGGGTCTCTTTCCCCCAAGGTGTCCTCAAGACTGTATCCCTCTGAGTTAAAACACAAGCACTTTATTAGTTTGCATGTCATCTGGAAAAACAAGTATCAGTATCAGTCTGGAATATGGCCAAAAAATGGAAGGAGAATTTTACATGCAATTAGAGACAGTAGGGCTGGATAATGTCCTTTTAAAGACTCAGCTAAGACAGTAATGTCGATAAGCAGATAGGATGCTCGCTATAGGTTGAGGGCTGAAGATCTTGAAAGACAAGAAATGATGTGAAGAACTGCGTTGTCATCATGCTAACATGCATGAGATAATACGTCCTAAACCTTCACTAACCTAACAATGTTATGCTCAAGAATTAAATTGCTATAGCTGTTTAATGTAAAAGGAAGGAGACTTAAAAAAAAAAGAGGTTCCTGCTAATCCTTTTTCATTTCCTATTTGACCTGAAATTCTGTTTATAATACATATTTACAAATTTCATCTTGTGTTATTCTAGTCAGAAGCCCCCTCTGTTTACGAGAAAAGCCATGGTTTGAATTTCCACAAGTCTGTAAACATTGTCAACATAATAAACATCATGCATGTCACATGAAAGTTACATCGGCCCGCTGACATTTAAAAAATAAGGACCACTTTTAACTATTAACATAGGATTTGTTACTGAGAAGTATATAGAAAGGAGTGCATTTTCTTTAGATAGATCATTTCAAGATGATTACAGAAACCCAAAATACTATTTACACTATATTAAACTTCCTTAAATGTCCTATGATAAAATTGTCTTACTGTTAGAATATGAGGTGTATAGATGTAGCAAGTTTAAAGCATAAGCCAATAGCCCCTATAGCTTGACCAAAAGATACATGTTAGGGTCTCCCAGCACCAAGAAGATGGAAAAAGTTCAACTGTAGCTAGTTTTTTTTTCTTTCTTGAGCAGCTCAAAATGCTTTAGCAAACACCTAGGACTCTTACATCATTATTAGTGATATAAGAGAAGATGAGAGGGACAAAAATTGGGATTCTTGACTCTAAGTGCTTAATCTACTAAAATTTTCTTTAAAAAGATTTTTCAAAAAACATTAAAATTCAATACCACTTGAATAGTATTTGAGAATTAAGAGTGGCAACATATTCACTTGGGGGATATGAACTAGAAAAAACTGTAATTATGATCACTTTGTCAGAGTAGCAAGTAAGTGCCAAATTAGACCGATGCTGTGAGACTTGCTATGCTATTTTGGATAATTTGGTCCAGATATCCTTACGCAACCAGTATGTGGTTCCTGTTCATTCTGGTCATATCAGACGGGAACAAGGATCTTCTGTACAAATCATATTACATGACCCTCGTAGCTCAATTGGACCATGTAGGGTGCCAGGACTACTGGAAATGGGACAAATCACTCTTTCTGTCACAGTAACATTTTGCGTGAGAAGTGGATCAAAGGTTGCAGTAGAAGGTTGCATGAGGGAGCCAGACGCTGAGTAAGTCTCCGTCACCAAACAGCTACGCTGCTGCAGAGGGTCAGGGATGGGAATGGCGGGTTGGAAGACAGAGCAAGAAGCAGACAAAGCAGAAGCTCCTTGACTGTCTGCTGAAATCTGGCACCTAGAACACCCTGACTGCTGGATTTCTACAGAATGGCCACAGGATCCCATCCCAGAACTGCCGTTTTTGTTGTGTGTCTGAGATTGTTTGGCTTTGTCATCAAGCCCGAGGCTTATCTCTGCAAGTTGTTTAAATTTCGGGCCCAGGGAATCCAAAAAGCTCTCATCCAGGTCATCGACGATAAAACTGCAGCAACCCAGGGAGCCCACAGGAGAACTAGGGGCACCCAGTCCTTCATTGTCATAGATCAGCAAGCAGTCGTTTGCTTCCTGGCCATCCTCTTCCTCTGCACAGTCAAATGCTTTCTAAAGGTGCAAAAAAGTAGAAAAATGAATTTTATAAGAAATTCAGCTGAAGAATATAACACCATTCATAGGACTCAAGGTTTGCTCACGGTTGTGTAATTTAGGTACTCCATGGATGGAAAGACATACAGAAATCATTTGGAGACTGGTATAGTTGACATTCCCTCAAAGTTGACTCTGGCCTAGGTTCATGGTCTAATTCTTGATTCTGAAGGTACTTACATGGATTCAGGCCTATCAAACAATTGTGTATGAAGCCTACAGGTTACTTCCTGTGCCAGGTGTAAGGGTCCCTATGTGTACTTGTGCTAACATGTGTCCTTGGGTGTAGATAGGAGGCATTCCACCATGCACCATTGGCATAGCTCTCACCCAGACTGGAGACTTTGCTGAGATCCTGCAGGTCTTGTGGGAGCCTGTCTCATAACGAGAGCACACACCATCTCAGAATTTCCCAAGGACCCTCATCCCAATCAAGTGCTCCCTGCCAGTTTACCCTCAAACACAGTGTTAGCCTTCATTTGCTCATACAAGGACAAGATCCTGGCACTTACCATCAGTTCCGATACCAAATCTATACGTGAGATCTATTCTAATGACAGTGCCTCAACCAGGAGGCAAGCAACCTGCCTCCCCCAGTCCTCTCTGTTCTTGCACCCTTGTCCCTGTTCAGTTCCATGCTCATCTGATCTTTTATCACACTCCTTCCTCCTTTTATTTTTGGGTCATTGATTCAATGGTTCTTCAACTTTTTTTGGACATGGACTCTTTTGAAAATGTGAAGAATACTATAACCCCTTCTCATACAAATATATTCACATGTGTTCTGACATCCTTAATGGTACAGGAAATACAAAATAAGCTGCTTTGTATTCCTAAGGAGGATGCTGCTGATCCTGAAATGCAAAAGATTTTGCTGTCTGTTGCTATTCCAGTTTGAAGGATATGGTGCCCCTTGCTACGTTCTCTTACTTTGTGTCTATTTACCTATTATTCCTTTTGACCAGTAGCCCAATTTGAGCAGCCGTTCTAGATTATCTGTATTATTTAGGCAAAGAACCCTGATTTTTTCTTACATTTTCACAAGCTGTGAAAACAATGAACTGCAAAACTGAAATATAGTCGAGTAAAAAGATCTGTAAGGTAAATAAGATATCAGAGCCACAACGTTTTTCAGCAAATTACCTGAGAAAAGTAGGACTCCAGGAAATTCATGTTTATCTCTCCCTCACCACATTCCCTCTGGGCGCCCCCAGTGGAATGCCTTGTCCGCACGGTTCCTGACTGTTCTGCACAGCAGAAGCCATTTGTCCGCATGGTTCCTGACTGTTCTGCAGAACAGAAGCCGAGCCCCGTGGTGGTTCTGAATCCCGCAGCAGCTCCCATGTCTGCTCCAGGTCCTGTAGCCGTTTCAAGCTTGGTGGTCCGCTCCATTCCCAAATTTTCTTCCACCACCCTTCTTCTGGTGCATGTGTTTGTACAAACTTCTAAAAAGGAGGGGGAAAATTCTGTAACATCTCACGCAGTGATTTTTCTTTTTATTGATCTTTGATATCCATGATATCAAGTAAAGCAAGTCAGTGGGAGAAAATACAATTGTGTGACTAGCGGTGATAAGAACATCCCACAGTCTGTTATGTGAGAGTAACAGAGGAGGTGAGAGTGTAACGGGATATCAGCAGATGAAGTAGCTCTGAAAACATACTAACTGAAAAATATACAAAGGAAGTGGATTTTCAGTGACAATAGCCTGAAATGGAAAAGTAAAAACAAAATATTCAGCATACAGTTATGGAAGCTTCTAATGCAGTGCTTGCTTGTTTTCAGGGAAAAAATTGTAACTAAGTTTGTCATGTTGGCTCAATAGGAAAACCAGAGGAGACATTCAAATTAGCAAATGCTAATTTGATGCCTTGGTGCTTAAGGACAATTTAATGGGTTGTGACTATTCTGCCTGTTACCTTTACATTACACTTTCATGGAAAGTTCTTTTTTCCTAGCGAATTCTGAGTATAGTTTTCGCTATGTAATTATTGTGAAACAGCAGGTGAGGATTGGGGTCACAGATGAAAACACAAGAGTTGCATTTGGGGGGCATCTCATGCAGATTTTCAGGCTGCATATTTAAAAACAATCTATTGCTAAGTATGGAATTAAGAAAAAATTTAATATTAGGCAGGTCTTATTTGTTTTTCTAGTGTGTGCCTTAGTCGTGGCATGGAGCTACTATGAGCAAAACAGTCTTTGGTAAACCAAAGAAATAATTTCACCTGTATGACAACATAAGTGATATAGTCCCATTATGACTGAAATAAGAATTGGTCATTGAACTCGAATCAGGATACTGTTAGTTCTGGGAGACGAAGACTCCATGGGATTGAGGATGTGTACACATGAGGCCCTGGCTGCAAATAATACCAATGTCAACAATAGTCAAACGTTGGGTGGTGGGTACGTAGTGTTTGTTTGGTTTTCCTTTACATTTTTCTATATGTGTGATAGCCTTTCTAATTAAAAAATTCATAATTGACTGTCTGAGAGCTGTAGTTCAGTTTGTACTAAAGTTTGAAAAAAGAATGACAAATCTTCAGATACTAAAAACGGTGGCATCAGTGGGCAAATGAGCTTACTGAAACCGGAGCTAGGTCACGGACTTGGCTAATAAACTAATAATAAACCATTTCATGGAAACCCCATTTCAATGATACCATCTCCCACCATGTACACATATGTGCAAATTGTTAAGAAAAGAATGTAGAATGCGTATTATTTTAATATTTATTATTTAACCCACTATTACTTTCAAAAATAAATTTGATGTCTACTTACCAGAATTTTCCATGAAATCAGTTCCATTGGAGTTTCCAAATGGCACACAAATATTTGTCATTTCCTGCAAACCACATTAAAAAATAAAAACATTAAAAATAAACTATATTTTTTTACCCTTTACAAATAGCAACATTACAAGAAACCCAAATTCTTGCAGGAATAACCATTTTTACGATTTGCATTTGAAGAACTAAGACCTTAAAAGGCTCCATTCATTTCAGCCCTGACTCACAAGGGGCCTGGAAGGGTCAAGGAGTCTCTTTTGTTGTACCCCATTACCCCTTTTCCTGCCTGAACATAAATAGGATTTTGCTCTATATAATTGAACTAAATGTTTTACAAACTGGATCCTCACCTTGTCTTTAGGTTGGCCTCCTTCGATTCCCCATTGATGAATTGTGCCTTCTGAACCATCCGGAACTGGGATGAATCCAGCCATTGCTCCTCCTGGGGAACCCATCCCACAGTCACAGGTCAGCAGCAGAAGGGGGGCCACTAGCATAAAGGAAAACACAGTATCGAAACATTCCAATCACTTGGAAATGACCTGACATGACACTTGTCAGGAATGTCACAAAGAAAATGCAATATTTTTAAAATATAATACACATGCAAATCTAATAGAAAGCACAGTTAGTTTCTATAAAACACAGTTTGGTAAATTAAGCATACTAGTATTTCATGATTATGAAATAAAGGCGACAGGTCAGATCATTCTCATGATATGTATATTGTTGCCTTAAAATAGGCACTGTTTGATGACTGATAAAAGTGGTTTAGTTCCTCCATTATTTTCATAATTTATTTTTATTATTACTACATTTATTTGTACATGTTGAGGCTGTATATGCATGGTGTTAAGTGAATACACATATGGATGGTCAAGATTTTTGGTGGGTATGATGTTTTAATAATCTGGTTTCTAATGATGCCTTAGTAAACAGCAATCAAACTGGCAAATTTGAGTGGGAGTGATGATCTAATATCTGCACAGTCTTAATTGTGATTTAACAGCCCCTAAATTAAAGAGGCCTTCTTGCTAAGGTGATTATCATTCTTTCAGTGCCTCTGGTCACTTCTTGGCAATAAAGATGAATGCCCTTCTCATTCTAGTTAAGGAAGCACTTCCCAGGCTATCAGGGACCACACTCCTGCCTCTGACCTATAAAGTCCTCTTGAGTCTAAGGTTTGAACTCAGTTCCCTTAGAGGCAGCTTAGTGAAGTGTTTCTCTAAGACCACAGCCATGGGAGTCAGACTTCTAGGGTTTTAATTTTTGTCTCCACCAGTCACCAGCTGGAAGCTATATCATCTTCTCTTGCCTCCATTAACTCATCCAAAGAATAGGAGAATAAATGAACACTCCATACACATTCCAGTAACATTTATGGTTGGAATAATGACTTTATCCATGAGTGAGACACTTTTTAAAATGTCATTGCCATATTCAAGTCTCATGAGATTCTAAAATAAAAAGAGGACTTGGGACAAATGAATCATAGATTAAAGTAATTTAAAGATTACAAGGGTTAGTATGGGTAAAGGATTTGGTAGTGAGCTCTATAAGGATTTGCTGGTATTGTTTGGATGGGCCACATCAATTATACAAATTATTCAGTCATATATATGTAAAATTAGATTGCATGAAATAAAGTAGGTTGGATGTAATTACTACATTTTCTCAAAATTTAATATAATATTTATATAAATGATAATTCTAAAAGCTTTGTTTATTACCATTTTCTATTGCATGACTTTATTAAATGTTTGGGAAGGGTTGAATACTGTGAGTTGATGACTTAGTTTTGAAAGGTGATGTCCACCTGTATGGTCAGTATTTTTAGGTAGGCATTATAATTATAGTCGTAGGAAACTTATTTATCACTGTATGTGCGATGTATGGTTTTTATATGTATCCACAAAAAATTTTCAAAGTGTCAAGTGTATTTCTACAGACTGAAAAATGTATGTTCTATTCTGTAAAAAATTAAAAACATGGCAAAATTAAAAACTTTGCAAATTCCAGGATCACATGAAACAAGTATGGTTGTGGGAATAACAGTATTTTTCTCTGACTGCCACCCTGAGTCACAATCCAAAGGTTCCATGGCCTGCAGGACATAGCCACACCTTAGGATTTAACATTTCAAAATCAGACTCATTCTTCCCACCTCATACATCTGCACCTTTTCTGATATTCTAGGTCCCATTTACGAGTTTCAGCAACAACTGAATTAAATGGCTCCCCTGGACTTCCTGTCCACTTTTTCTGTCCTACTCCAACTCCTCTGCACATACCTCTGTTATGCCTTTTTCTGGTCTGACATCAAGGCCCTAAAGTTGGCCTCTGTGTCTTCTGAACTATCACAATAACCCCCTAACCGTTCCTTTCGTTCTAATTTGCAGTATGCACTGCTGCCAGTGTTATCTTTCTAAAATAGAAATGCGATCATGCTCGTCTTTTATTCAACTATGTTTAGTAACTCCCCTTTCTCAGATCTCGAAGAGTAAATACCATGTGTTTGGAAGCCCTTTCAAATTAGTCCCAGAGCATTCTCCAGTTTCCTCTTCACTCCACAGTTTTCCCATGTGTTGGCTTCCCAAGGCTCTTCTGTCCTAAAACATACTAAGTGTCTTCTGGCTTTGGCTCACACTGTTACTCTCTGGAAATACCTTTCCTTCTCCTCATACTTACTATATCTTACACATTTTCCAACGCTCGAGATTTTGCAAAGCTTATTCAATATTCATTTATTCCCTTCCATTATAGCTCTTATCATGGCATAAGTTTTTTTCCCGTATAGTTAGACATGCATAAATCTGAACAGCATGAAAACCAGAATCAAGTTCCCATTTCGTTTGGGAGCTGGAATAAAGACTCACATATAGGCAGTGGAAAAATCTTTGTCGAAACTAATATGATATTGAGAAACTGAAACTCTGGTTGTCAGTATCAGCTAGTAAACTAAATGCTGCACAATAACTTCAGAATAGTAAATGCTTTGGGAGAAAGAGGAAGAATATATGGCATGTATAGTAGGCCACTAGATGTATGTATAACAATTTCTTTTTTTAAAAAAAGGACACTTGAGAAACTATAAAAATATTAGCATCTATTAAGTCTGGGTAGTGATTACAGTTATAAGGTTATATATGTACAAATATTAATTTCTGTTAATGATATTATTGATAATAATTATGATTATATAACTTGTTATAATTATATCTGTGCCTGTTATTTAATTTTCTGTACTTCTATGTGGTTTAAAAATATTACATAAATTAAAATTTAAGTTAGTGGGTCGAAGTGAATTTGATCATAATGAAAAATCATTTTAACTCTAAAAGTCTATGGTTTTATAATAAATTAGGGAAGTGACTGTGAATTTATCAAGGATTTCTTTTGTTTACACAAGAATTTATCAAAAGTTCTTAAATTAAAAATATTATTTGATCACAAGATTTTGATTTAAATGCAACTTTTTAGAAACTTTCTACTGAATCAATATATTTTACCTTTATTAAAAATAATATACGTGTGTAGTTTTCCCAAATGTGTCCAATAAAATTAATCATATTATGTATAGAAACTTTAAAGGAGGTATGTATTCAGGTGGTAAGGTATTTTGAGGAAATGTTGAATTAAACAATAATGTCTTAGAGACTATGATATATTAATGTGTATCATAAAGTTCAAAGCCTATGATAACCTATATATTTTTTCTAAATGTATTTGTCCAAAGTTCTCTTTTTACTTTAGAAACTCATGAGACTTTAATATGGCAAAGACATTTTAGAAAATGTACCGCTCTCAGATGAAGTCATTATTTTGACCGTGAATGTGACTGGAGTGTGTAGAGAGTGTTCATGCTTTATTTTTCCCTCTTGATTGACTCTCTTGTGCTGTTTTCTAAATGTCTAACATTTATGACTTGCTTATTTCTTCTGCTAATGTCTAACACTTATGACTGTAGGTTTTGACTATCATATATGACCTGCTTTGCTGTGCATGAATATAGATTGTTGGCAAGTGACACGTTAACTTTAAACATTTAGGATCCTTCCTGAAAATCCCATTTCTCCCTGGCTTTGCCTGTAAAACAACCATGGGACCTTTCTTCTGCATTGCAGGGTACATCACCCATGTACTGTGAAGGTCTCTGCAGATGCCGACACCCCGTGAAAAAAAAGAATGAAGCTTTGGAATACTCACACAGCAACAGCAAAAGACCGAGGAATATCAGGCCAATGGCAGCGGGCCCCAGTCTCCAAGATGACTCATCTTCTTCATACCTGGGCTTAGGGGTTGGGGCTGCACAGACGTCTCTGTTGTTGCACTGACAGACCTCCAGAGTCAGACTCTCTGGAGTCTCACACTGCCTGTTGTCTCTGTCTGAAATTATGAGGGACACACTGTGCACTCCAGGGGATACCTGCTGCTGGGCCTTTAGGAGTGCAGAGGTAGCTGTAGAGAAACAATTGTACAAATCAACAGTAGGATAAGGCACCCTTTGCTCTTAAAATGACTTATTTTTCTTAACAGAACCAGAGTTGCCATAGACATCACTGTCACAAACAGTAAAGCTAGTAGGGTGAGATTTGAGCAGTTATGAGGGCTTTAAGAGATTTAGCTGGGGAAATCAGGCCGTATTTCCTCCTTGTCCCAGATGGGCCCATTATTCTCACTCATGAAGACTCAGTCCTACCTTGAATTTCCCCACTAAGTGGGGAGGCAGGGGGTGGAATCGGGGCGGACGTCATTTTAATCCCAGATGTTTCTTTCCTAGGGCTTATCTACTCTCCTGTATGTCTGTCCCAAATCCTTGGCCCTTGTGTGGCCCTCTGAGTGTATCTCTTCTGTTTAACTCCATATTTTTGTGCCTGACTTAGTAAAAACTGAATTTCTGCTTTGGCTGATGCTACCTCCTCTGCTCCTGTCAGTCCTGACGCCTCGAACCTGACTGGTTGTACTGCGTAACCTGTGGTGCAGGCCTGTGGTCTCTCCTACTCACGGAGTTGATTGCTCTCCATTCTCCATCGCTGTGTTGTCCCTTTCTGAGTGGGCTCGAGCAACAGCTCTTGGTGGCTGCAGGGCTGTGTTGCTTGAATTAGTCTTATTTAGATAGTCAACTTAACATTTCATATTGATTTGTATTAGTTTTGGGGGTACAGCCTAGTGTTGAATCAGTCTGGACTCCACCAAGCCCTTTGCTATTACGCCTGATCCACCTGGTCCCACCACAGTTGCCTGGCTCAGCCTCACCTGAGCAGGTGTGTCTAGTACAAGGTCCTGTCTCTCTCTGATATTTCTTTTGCAGCCTTTTCATTGGCTATGTGTCTGGTAAAACCTTGAGCTAAATGCTACATGCATAATTTGGAGCTAAAACCTTACACCAGGATTAGTAAGGCCCCAGGAAGGAAGACCATGGAGAACAAGATCCCTTTGGTGGCACTAGCAGGGACTGATACCTGTGGCTAGGACACCACAGAGCACATTTATAAAAACAAGCAAGATTGGTTCAGAGAAGAGTTAGAAAAAAGTGAGTTCATTTACAAGGGATTTGAAGTGGCCTGATGGCCACCATAAAATTTAGAAAGGGAGGAGACTCTTATTAAATCTAATGGCTATTTCTCTGAGACTCCTGGAAAAGACAAGAAATGTGAAATTAGCATGATAAAGGCTAAGAGAACAGGGAAGGTGGATTAGCTCTTTCCCACTGCCTGATGGGTTTACAGAGTTCTGTTCCCATTTGTGCTAAAGATTCCTGACTAGGGACACACTAAGTAGCATTTCCTGTGAGCTTTGAACAGGCAGACACTTCTCTTGTGCTTTCTGTCTCTTCACAGCCTGCCCAGTAAGAAAAGTTTATGTATTTATAAATCTAAAGAGCTCTGAAATAAAAATAGATGCCTGACTTTAATGTTATTTCGGTGTGCTCTGGAGATAGAAATAACATATAAAAAACAATTTGGAGTCCACATGAAAAACAACATATTAAATCGTGCTAATGTTATATCATATCATTTCTTTCCTCTTGTGAAAAGAGAAGGAATTCATGAGGCTAGGAGCATGTCTTCACTGCAGAGAATTGTTTCAATTGCTCTTGGAAAGAACTTGCTCCCACATGAGCCCTTATTCTTCCGAAGCTACAAAGAAGCAGTGACTTTCATTTATGGATGGGACTTTATTACTCACCATTAAGAGTTGTGATGCTCCAAACAGTTGGCAATTTCTGAGGCTGATCCTCCAGTGAAAACGTGTAGGGGCCGGAATATTTACTACTGTCCGCTACGTGAGCCGAGACAATCACAGAAGGCGATGAGCTGCAAATTGTTTCCTTTTCGAGGACAATTGTTGGACAATTTTCATTAAAATCAGGTACTCTCACATGGACGGTGCCTGTCGATGTTTTACCTGTGTTGTCTGCATGAATGACATTTTAGGGTTAAAAAGATAAACAGAACAAGTTGTCCCAAAAGTTAACCTTTTAAATTTCTCTTTCATGTAGCCAAGTTCGTGTGTCTTCTCATGGGAGATTATATTTGTTATTCTCACAAGTAAAAATGTCCTACAATTTCCACGTCTTGTAAAAAGCAAATTTAAATTCATTATTTTGGCCAGCATCTCTAATTCATAGCCTTGGCTATTAATTTAATGTGCTTGGGACGAAGGCCTGTAAAGTGATGAATGCATTGACTACAAATGACATCTACATAAAAATAGCCATTTTCTTCAACGTGTCTCACTTCACGATCCCAGCACTGTGTGAAAGACTTTTTTCTTCTAAGGTTCGAGCCAAAGTATTTGGAATAAGAAATTATTTATTTTTGTTGTCCAAGATATAAAAGCTTATTGAAGAAAAAATTAAATATATTGACAATCAAAAACAATAAAATAAAGTCTCTCAGTGGAGGAATTGAGTCATTTTCTGTATTTTTCCTTCATTTTTTTTGCTGTTTTCCCAGATGATGTGACTTTTGATGTTTATTCTTTTATTTTTATGTGTGCTTATTGCCTTGAGCACAAATGAATTTTATACTTGGGGAAACACATACACTTAATGAATAATATTTTTAAAACACCCCAGAAGATTTTATTGTTTAATAATATAAGCACATGAGGTCTCTATAAACAACTCATTTTATGGGTAACTCACAAAGGCACCTCACATTTGGGTGGAGCTTCCCTGATAGGCTTTCAGTACCAATATTCACCCATCGTTCCCAAACCCAGAATTCTGGTGGGTCTGTAGATTCCCGTCCCAACCACAACACATGGTCCGCAGGACAGGACACAGAATTCACTGGTACCACAGGCTCCACCAGGATGTTGGAATGCCCAGTGTTCTAGATTCGACTGCCTCGGACTTGAGACCCAAAGTCCTAACATCATGCGTCTAGTGATAAAGGTGATTTATTAAATAATCATAATCATCTATTCATAAATAAATGCAGTTGGGGTAACATTTCTTTAAATATGGCTGAAATAGTTTTTCTTACCATCGATGGCCAGAATCTCAGCTATGATTGTTTTGTTAACAATGAAGGCAGAATCCCGATTGATGTTTTTCACAAATTTGATTTCAGCTGTTTTTGAATCAATAATTAGGAAACCACCATCATTACGTCCCATCATATATCTGTTTTATAATAAAAAAGTAACAGTTTTCTATTAAATATAGAATGTCATCTATTTAATGAAAATGACTCATGTTATATTTAGTGTATTTACATTGAGTATAAGACATTGAAATATGCTTTTATAAAGAGTAGCAGATAATTAACATATTAGCATGGACAAATATTATTTTATAATCCTTAGCTATGTATTAGCCTGGTTTTTCAAATTTATGTTCTGTATAATAACTGTGTCCTTCCTCTTTAGACTACAGTAACTACTTCTGCATGGTGCTCTCAGATTTTAGGCATATAGAGGGGGGCACTCCTGAAAAATCAGAATCTTCTGGAGGGCAGGCCCCTTATAGTACAGGCTTCCCCTGCTAGGTGAGTGTTCTAGGAACCCATTTGTAGTAGTGTACCAGATGGCATTGTTGTGAGAGGCTGCCTTCTGTTTCAGTGAATTTTTTTTAAAGACTTTTTATGCTATTGCCCATTTCTTGATGGGTGATTTACCAGCTCACCTGCCCACACTGCGCTGAGTGTTCAGAAGTTTTTGACCAAAAATAGCATGACCCCCCCTCCTGCACCCTACCTTCCCTATTCACCTGATCTTGCCCAGAGTGACTTTTTTTGTTTCCCCAGATGAAAAAAGTCCTCAAAGGAAAATGTTTTCCTGATGTGGAAGAGGGGAAACAAAAACTTGCAGAAGCACCAAAAAGACATCAAAATCGACAAGTTCAAAACTGTTTGGAGCAGTGGAAAAAACATCTTGACAGGTGTATTACATCAAATGGAGAGTGCTTTGAAGGTGACTGAAGTTTAAACATGAAAGAATAAATACATGATTTTTTATAAATACTGTTTTTTGGGGTGTCTTCACATGTCTTTGTGTATAGACTGTTCTGTCTTATTGCATCAAAACCTTCTGGGGAATCTCTACCCTTAAGACTCAATTCAAAGTTTTCTGAAACTTTCCCCTGACCTCTCTAGACAGGTTACAGCATTTTTCTTTTAGTTTACACTTTACATTTTAGTTTATACTTAATGCAATCTTTGCTTATATAATATCACCTAATGATTTAGCTATATATCTCTTCTCTAGTCATCCAGTTCCTTGAGTTGGCTGCTTTGTATATCTTTGTATTCTTGCCATAAATAGCTTGGGTATTATTTTGCAATAATTTATAGACTAAAACTTCACCAAAGAATAGTAAAATGTTATTAAAATAATCTCACCTGACATTCGAGGCAGCTTTGCCAGTGTCCTCATCAGTGGCTTGGTACGGTCCCAGGATGTAGTTGAGCAACCTTCTACCACTTTTGTCTTGCGGGATAATAAACGTCTTGGAAGACGGCCTGAATGTAATCCCTTCTTGCACATTTATAACTTCAACTGTGACTTCAGTTGACTTGACTTGATATTGAGAGATTACTGATTGGTGAAATGCAGCTTTGTTTTTAACGCCAATACTAAATCGCGCATTTTGTACTTGTTCATAATCTAGAGACTAGGGTAAGAATAAAATTAGAAAAAGTGTTACAGAAATATGGTCTGGCAAACCCAGAAGAGAACAAGAAAACTCTATCTTATATGCTATGAATGGATCCTTTTATTTCTATAAGTAGACACAGAAATAGCAAAATCATTTCAGAAATCATTATAATGTGGAGATAGAGAAATCTTTAGAATTCTTAACTCATGAAACCTCAGTTTGCTAATGCTACAAAGCAGAGCACATCTTGTTAGACAGCAGAACATCATCACAGTTTATGCAGGCCGTGTGGTGTAGTGGACAAGAACCCCAGATTTATTATGGCTGCATGGTTTGAACCCTGGTTCTTCTACTTAGGATCTGTGTGACTCAGGGCAAAATATTTACTATCTTTGACCCTCAACTTTCCACGTCTGAAAAAAAATTCTTTACCTCATCAGATGATTGTGAGACTGAACAAATTAAGGCCCATAATACATTCCTATAAATAGCAGCTCTGGCCATTCACAGACTAGTCATTGGGTTCATGTACAATAATGTCTTAAAAATTCCTAGATGGCCAACGCAAACTATTTTCAAAAACTTTATTCACATAGAGGCTTCTGCAAAGCAGTGAGTGGGTGGCCCATCAGCGTTTTGTAGAACCATTTGCAGATGGTCTTGCATGAAAATTATTCGTTCAACCCTCTGATGGAGGTGGCCCAAACCAAGGCCTGAGGAATCCCAGGATAGTTTTTTCTGTTCACTAGTACATTTTCTGAGGTTGATGAGTTAAGGGAAATGACCATTTGGTTACATTTGTGTATTTACTGAAGCAAACTTTGCAATAACTTGCTCTATGGGCTCAAGCATTTCCTAGTGGGGAGGAAGAGAAAAATGTGTAAAGAGATCATTATAATATGAGGGATTGGTGACAACAGAGCTTATGGAGTCTGCTCATGAAAAGCAAGAGAATATTTGTCCTTGAGAAAGTTAGGAAAGCTTCCTGAGAGATTTTCATGTAAGCTGAGTGTTTAGGGGTGAGAAGGAGCTATTCAGGCAGAGGTGAGAGCACCTGCCTCATTTATAGAAAGTGGTGGGGAGTGGGCTGGCTGCCAATGATGAGAGGTCTCCCCCAAGGAGGTGAACCTCATCTTGAAGGCAAGCAGGTGGTCTTTAACCCTGAATGCCTATCACAGTCTCCTGAGGAGCCTTTAAGAATCTCCACAGGGGCTTCCCACAGACCAAGGGAACCAGCTGTTCTCATGGTCCCTCTGGCTAGGAAAAGCGGGTGGTTCAAATGAGCAGTCAGGATTGAGGGCTATTCTTACAGCCAGTGGAGAATGAGAAAAAGCTTTAAAAGGGAGAGTGACCAGTCCCAACTGGTTTTAAGAAAAACATGCTAGTGGACTGGTTTGGCAGCAGAACAAAGGGAGGTAGCAACAGGGAGGTAGAGACATCTATTAGGGGGGGATCGCAGTCACATAGGGCCTCACGCAGGCCAGGTGAAGGGAGACCGGGGTCATATTTTGAGGGCAGGTTCTAGGGTAGAGTTTGATGACTGGCTATAAGTTGTGAGGAAATGCCACAATGAAAGGATAAAGCCCAGGTTTCTAGTTTGGGAAACTGGATGACAAAGAATGCAGAAGGGGAATAGCTCATTCTCAGGCACTCTTGCGAATTCATGGCAAAACTCTTGCAACTGAGGTTGGCTGTAGCCTACTCTTTCAGGACTTCCAGCAATCTGGTATTCCAGCAATATCCTCGTTAAGGGAATATTATAGTTCTCTTGCTCTGCTGGACTCCAGAAATTAAAGAAAGACACTCCCACACAGTCCAATATCCTATGCCAGCGAATGGCCCACGTAGTGGTTATTTTTTCTAGTCTATACAATATCCAAGCAGAAAAATCTTTGTTTATGCCCTTTCATAGTGTGCATATGTGTGTGTGTGTGTGTGAATGTGGGGTGTTTACTGTAGCCAAGCCTGTTAAATGGAAACTTTACTCAATAACTCATTTTCTGTCTTGCAGATTTAGTTATCCATTCCCATTTTCTAGGAAAACTTGCTTCTTTGCCCTCTTGATGACTGTAGCTAATCCATTTAAAATAAGTTGACAAGTTCAAAAGCCACAATTCTATGTATTTATATCAGTTCCTAACTTCAAATGTAAAGAGGAAATGAAATTAATGAACATATTTTACTTTCTTGTGCTTAAATCAGGAATACCTATAAATATATGCATGTTAATAATGTGTTTGTATTAACTGAAGACACAATGAGCTTGGAAGGAAATAAATCAACTTGTTAATAAGACTGTCTTTAAGTAATGGAGCTATGTGTGTGTTTTTAAAAATTTGATCTGGTTTTATGTGCTGTCTAAGTTTTCTATAAAGAAGTGGTATTTTTAAAAAGCACATAAAGTTTACTTTCAGAAATAATAGTTTTGGCTAACAGAGAATATTTTTGCCACTGAAGGGAAATCAGTCTTTACCTTAACCACCTTCAGGATGCCTTCGTTCGTCCTGGGATCAGTTTGTATTTCAAACCAATTCCCTTCATTTCCAGAGGTGAAGAAATACACCGCAAGCCAATTATCTGTGAACTCTTCATCCAAATCGATTACTTGAAATCGAAGCAACTCAGAACTTAAAGTATTTTCTTCAATACGTGCTGAATACTGAAAAGGAGAGAAGCAGAACTTAAGACACCATATCAAAATACCCAATGTCAGGTTTTATCAAAAGGAATTATATTTATTCTGCATGGTAGTAATCATTAAGTCTCAAATTTTGTATTGCTTCCTTCTCAAATTAGTAAATTTTTATTTCACAAAGACTTATTATTTTTTTAAAGGAAAGTAAAGGGAATTTAGATAGAAGTCAACAAGCAGGCAAATGCTAAATTAGGGTGGAAAAGTATATAAAGAATTATATAATTATTCTTGAAGTAGTTAAGGGTATACCTGTAATTCTCTGAACATTGGGAAATTATCATTGACATCTTTCACTTTGATATTACTTTCACACTGGCTTGATAGTCCTTCTCCATCTCGGTCTGCACCACTCACAATTAGACGGTAGCTGCTAACTTGCTAAATTTGGAGTAAAGAAAGAAAAATAATTAATCTTTAGTGCCAAGAGTATGAATGACAGCTACTTGCTTCCTATGAGTAAGGAGAAGGAAATATTCAAGTTCATAGTTTATTGGATTACATGCACTGTTTACTCTTCAGCATAGAGGAGGTGTGTGGGGCTCTGGATGGTTGGGTAGAAGTTTCTAAGGGGCTAGAACAGGTTTTCTCTTGTGAGATTCCCAGGGAAAGAAAGTACACTTAGAACAAAAATGGGCAATGATGATGGTGGGAGGCTTGTCTGAGAGAAGTTCACTTTGAGTTTTGTTGTTGGTCTATTAAAGTCATTTTTATGAAAAGTAACACAGAGTGTGATGGGGTAGTGTATGGTGATGGAGATGTGATGGTAGGATGATCGGGAAGAGAGAAGGAGGAGATTCTTTAGTGTTCTGGATGTGGGGGGTAAAATGAAAAGAAGTCAGGAGAAAAAGTGTGACATCAGGGATGTCTTTTTTCCAGATAGAAATGTCTCCTTTTGTTTATGAAATCGCCTTTTCCCCCATCATATGAGGAATTAGTCCCAGCTGGTCTTTGTCCATGTATGCCATTGCCTTCTGTTACTCTCCTGCTTACACACCCACTGGTGTACTGATACTTGTGTATTGAGGGTACAATTGATTGTGTGGGTGCTAGGTACACAAACCACCCCACTGGGGTCACCTTAGAATGCAAACAGTCTCCCTAGATTGCCCTCTTGAGTACTAGGGACTTCTCTTTCTTTCTCCTTTTATTCTCAGGTAAAACAGAGGCACCTTTTTTGAACACACAACCTTCTGATCTGGAGTCAGATGCGCTATCGTTGTGCCACCAGAGACACCTTTGTTGGCTTTCTTAAATAACATCCTTTACTGTTAAATGCTCCTAAGAGCCTGGCTTTACCTCTCGATCAAGAGAACTGGTCAAAGTTCGGACTTCCCCAGAGTGTCTGCTAAGGAGGAACATGGGATTGCTTGCAGGTTCTTGAGAAACAATTTTGAAGGCAATTTTAGAGTTCAAGTTGTTTGGCTCATCTGCATCTGTGGCATTCAGTATCATCACCAGTGAGTCTAGGAATACAGAAGTCCATTGAGGAATACTATGTTCAACATATTACATTCAAAATATTATGTTCAATATTATGTTAAATATCCAACACAGTTTCAAATTAATCTTTGTTTTTTAAGATCTTGTAAATAGGTATGCTCTACAAATATAACATGTCACTTACTGTTTTCATGAGGAGCAACAGCATTACCTTCCATAAAAATCCTCTAGTTCTCCTTAAGCCTTGGTTCTGTTGAGGTTGAAAGTATTTCCTGTGTTTGTTCCTTCCCTCGATGGATGACCTCGAGATTCTCCCTTCTCCTCAAATTATTCAAATAATGGGAGTGTGTCTCTGACCCTTATAATCTGAAAAGGCCCTGCTGATGCACCCAGGCTACCTAAGATCACGTCTTTAGCTTTGTGACTGCTGGGTACCCATGTTACTTGTATGTATAGAATAACGTACTTTGAACTCATAACAGAACCACACCTACAAAGGCAATGACAGTGAATAATTTACTACAAACATTAGAAGATTCAGGTTATCTTGATGTGTTTTTCTGGAAAGCACTAAGAACACATTAGCTTACAAAAATGATGTACTGTAGTGATACCTGTATGTGAAAAACAAAAGTAATTTGTATTCCTAGGTTCTGTAAAAGGACTTACTTGCAGGGCTATTTTCTTCAATTTCACCCATGAATATACTCTGTGAAAACACTGGAGGGTTGTCATTGATGTCTATAATTTTGACCGTTAATATAAGTGGTTTCTCCACTTCTCTCCCTTGGGCAGTTATAGCGTGACATATGATCTAGAAAAAAAGAAAAAAGGTTACTTGTCACTCAACAAACTTAATATTTATACTTTGGGCCTGTCATGGCACGTACAGAACCTTTGTGTAAAGGACAAAAATATTTCCCCAAAGAGTAGACAAAGCAGGAAAAAGTACCCACTCTGGGCAGACCTGTCGGGCTAGTTGCCCCTTCCTCCAGGCTGATACTGACTCAAGACAGGGTGAGGCTCCTGGCACACTGCATGCTTGAGTTTGGTGCTCATTCACGTACCTCCTGATGTATCCCTTCAGGGGCATGACTGTAAGTGGAGGCTCTTTGTCGAGGGACTCATATTGCTTTTAGTTGGTAGACTGATGTATGTAGTGATCTCTGCTCTAAATGAACCAGTACAAGAGTATCATCTTTGAAAACCATGGTGCATGAGTGGGGAAAGGATGCCAAGGTTGGAAACATTACTTACGTTGAAGCTTGGGGTTTTCTCACGATCAACTATGGATGTTATGTTAATTTCTCCAGTATTTCGGTTAACAACAAAGATTCCCAAAGGGGGCTCATCAATTCCTTTTCCAGAAATTCGGTAGAAAATGGGCTCCTGTGCTTGGAAATCTGAAGTAATCTGCAGCCAAAGATACCCAAAATGTTGAGGTGATCATCACTCAGGCCTTTTCCTTCCCCTCCACCTCTATAGTCTTCAGTCATCTGGTCATGTTATTCTTTCCTCCTGACACTGTGCTGTTTACTTTTTACCTTGATAGATACTAGAAATACGACATAAATTCCACTTGTTAGCATGGACCAATATACGTTAATCATTTTGGCTTTAGAATATTTGCTTAGATTGTGGCCACCATGGTGACATTAGAAGGTTGAGAGACAGTCAAAGACCCTTAATATTGACTAGGGTACTTCTAAATGCTCCCTTTTAGCATTAAAAAAGACATTTATTTTACTTTAAGTAGGGAAAGCTGGAGAGAAAAAAGAAAAAGAGATGATATAGTTACTGTTAAAATGTGTATTAAAATGTATTGATTTTTATTATCATAATTTTTAAGCTTTTTAAGATGGAAAATTTCAAATACATATAAAGTTAGAATAGTATAATAAACCCGATATATTTTTTCACCCAGCTCCAAAAATTAGGAATAGGTGGTTAATTCCATGGTGCCTCCCAGCCATTTTTCTTATTGTCTGATCCATATATATCTCTTTTTTCTATTTGCTAGTATCTGGATCTAAACAAGCCTTATCCATTGAAATTGGTCCATGTGTCTTTTAATTATTTTTTATTACTCTAGGACCATAGTTCCTTCATCTTTCTATCTTTATTATTATTATTGAGCTTTTTTTGGTTGTAGATATCAGGTTATTTGTTCTGTAGACTCTCCGGTCTGCGTTTTGCTAATTGGAATCGTCATATTATTTTCATTTATGTCTAATATATTTATTCTAAAAACTCACACTGCCCCTGCTCATAAGACTTACTGTGGCAATCGGGTTTCTTTTTGAGTTGTCTTCTTCTTCTCTGCAGGGTCTTGCAAATTTCACCCATTCACGTTTATATCTCCTTTTGGCTTGTTGTATTTCTGTTCCGTTTTCTTCATGTTGCCCTTTTGTCTTATGTAAAAAGGGATTCCATTTTATTATGTACATTGTTGGACATTTTTGCTTTGCAAATTAATTATAGACACATAGGTTAAAAAGCCCCTATGTTTCAAGACATCTAAGACTCTTATGTGTCTAAGTTGATCTACCTCATACTTTGTCAAAGAAACATTAAATAACCAAAGCAATTACAAAGCTATTTGATTTTTAACATAGCGTTAAATCATATTTCATATTTTCTTTATATATTTCACAGTGTCTAATTATTCTGGGCACATAGGGCCTGTCTAATTAAAGCTTTTTGACTTCAGATATGAAGAAAAATGCATGAGGTAAACTACATTAATAACATTTATACCTTGTTGGCATTTGAATATTATTGGGTTAGTTGTTAGAATTTTAATTTACTTCCACAATTAAATTGTTAATTTAAAACATTTAATATTTATTTTCTTGAGCATAGTTTTAATTTTTAGACAATAATATTATTTTAATCACAAAAAACTTTTCATACTTTACCTTTATTCTCAATTCTCCATGAACCAATACAACCACCTGCAGACATTTAAATAAAGTCAAATTAATGTGAATATTTCTAATAAGCACTAACTATATAAGGTAATAATCCTGATATTCACATTCCGCTGTTCATATTATAGTTTCTATTTGGAAAAAATAGATTTGGAATAACAATATTTAAAGGCAAAAAATCCTCAGAGTAAAAAGAAAATGCTCTCAACATACACAGTTTCTTCCCTCTTTAGTCTGACTACAGAATTTTAAAGATATACAGAAGAATGTATTGGATTTTGAAAATCTATTCCTAACAGCCTGTTGTAGCAACCAGACATTTCAAGGTTGGCTGTTCTATAAATATTTCCCAGGAGATATGGAAATTATTGCTTTGGCCAACAATGTCAATCATCATTGTGATAAACTCCAGCCAGTTCTGTAGACGATTATTAAAAATCATGACCTACCCAACTGACTTGTATAAAGGCAATTCTGTAGTAGTTAGCTGCAGGGTATGGCTTTTTTTGTTTGTTTTCAGTCATTCAAGAGTGGTCATGTGGAATGGAACTAGTCTGGTTTAGAGAATGGAATGTTAAAGGTGGGAATATGCTATTCCAGTCCCAAGTACCGTGCAGTGGGACAGAGATCTGCTCATCGCTGCTCTATTCAGTTTAAATATTGAGCTTAATTTACTTACTCATCTGAAAAAATTAAGTGAGGACAAAATGTGAGGATAGGCAGGCTAGGGTCTGTATTTTCTCAAGAGTACACAGGACCTTCATCTTTGTCGCTTTCCATCTTGCTTTCTGCCTTGAATGCATTCCTCTTTTCCCCTCCCCCACTTCAATATCACTCATCCTTTAATCAGTTCTTTAGGTTCCAACATCGTCCATGAAACTGTCTTTACTGATGTCTCTTTTCCTAAGTGTATGCAACACATACTCTGAACCATGCAATTTAGCCCATAGAGCTCGCCATAATTTATAGTTTTTTACTGTTTTATGTGCATTATGCTGCTAAACCAAGAGAATGGTAGACTTTCCAGATCAGTGCTTCTATACTATTATTTATTTGCAACCCTTTCCATAGCTGTCTCTTAGATGTTTCACAATTATTTACTGATACACTGATCACCTGATCTGAAGAAAATCTGCTAGGCAAAACAATGTGAAAAATAAATCAGAAAAAAATGAAAGTAATAATAGTAGCTAGTGTTATGGTTTTGTGTGATTTGATACACATAGAGATTTATATTTCTTATCTCACTCAATACTTAGAGAGGCCTTCAGAAGGTGGGTCTATTATAATAATCCCTGTTTTAGGGACAAAGAGAATCAGTCTTTTGCCCCAGCTGACAGACCTAGTAGAGCTAGGATTTGAACCGTGGCAATCTGACTCCCTACTGCATTGGATGCTAACCAAAGTGGGCATAAATGAACAAATAAAATGTGGTACACAGAAAGTTTTATAATAGTCAATTAAGATTTTTTCCTGGCAAAGGCTGGGAGTTACTCCGAAAACAATATAGATTAATTAAGTATGTTGTTTATTTTGGAAAATGATAACAAAGAGGTAAGTCCCAGTCTGAACCAAAGGAGTAATTATATCAGACATAGGATACCAGGACTTTTCCATCCTAAAAATTGCATTGAAATCTTCACTGCCAAAGATGTATATTCAAATTGTCATGAATAAGAACCACTTCATATTGTCATAACAGGTCTCAAAGTGATTTTATAGCTTTGATGATCTTTGTTAAACACTCACTGTCATGAGTTTTGTGGGCAAGAAGACAAGAGCAATGTAGTAATTGTACTACTCCTTTCTCAGGGAAGGGATCGTTGACCAGACATGCTTCTTTTTACAGGAAAACTGGGAAGAGTCATCCAGAAAATATGAATCATGTTGGTACTAGCCCCACAGAGAGGGGTGCTTCTAATAAACACTGAAGTACAATTTCTGTGTGAGGCGTAGGAAGGAGAAGCCTGAAATTATGGAGGATGAACATTGCACACAGTTGTTTCTGGTTTGTTCAGTCTCTTCAGAGATTGAGAATTCTTAGAGAAGTTGTTTAGTCTGAAACTCTTTCTCATTCTCCATTTTAAAATCAAGAATGTTCCCTAATTTTAGAACGTATTTTGAAAATATGATTATTTTTGCTCTTCTAGGAATATGGGGTAGTTAGTAAAAAACATTTCTAAGTTTTGAGATGCTCTTTAGACATTTACAAATATAATTGTAGCCTTACATTGTTTAGAACAGTGTTTTTACAAATTATTTTAGTTAATACTTATCCATGGCTACTTAATTATTATAGTTAGTTTGCTAATCTAATTATTTTCAACATTTAATAACTATTTCAATAGTTTCCTGACACTATACATCAACTAAGTTGTCTTTTTAGGTGGCCTGGATTGGAATTACCAATGTGGAGAAAGCACTTCTTATCTTAAGAATTCCTATACTTTTCTTTCTTCCCCGTGTTTCCTGGTAATTTTGATATTTTTGATTATATGGTTTTTAAAGCATTGAGCAGCATAAATTCCTTGGTATAGGTGAGAATCAGACATTTTATTAAAATCAAATCAGATTATTACATTAACAAAATAACGTGATATAAACTTATTTGCTATCCAAATGCCCTATTTGCTAGTTAAAAGTACATAGTTATATCATAAAGGTTGTACTGAATATGGTAGACAGATAATAAATAATTTTTAAGGATATGGGGGACTAGATTTTGCTTAGTTTGGCTTTACTTTTGTTTGGAGTTTAAGCTTCAGTGTGGGGAGGGGTAGACTGTTGGACCATGCATTACATTCATGGAGCTGGTCCCAGCTGGCCTTAGGTATAGTACCTCTTCTCATCACTGAGATGGGTGTAAGAGACGACCTTACCCACTTCTCTCTGGGAAATTTGAAGAATAAATTAAGTAATTTAAAGAAATCATTCCAATTTTTAAACATGATTTTGTATTTAATTCTTTTTGGAAAATAAGTCATGCAATCTATATAGGTTGGTGATAGCATTTTTTTTTGGTCATTGGCTAGATGCAGTGATTATTCATGTGTCAGGTCATAGAGGTCATGCAATACATCTTTGATTAATAAATTGCATAGGTACAATTCAGAAGAAATGAATGACTTTTTGATAATATCTAATTATCCATCTATCCTTTTTAAAATGAAAATTTAACCCCCTCCTCAAAATTCTAATAAACTTTTTATTCAAGGCAAATTTCTTACTTGAACAAAAAATGGTATGTTTATTTCCTTGGAAATTCTTATTACGTTTAGAAAAATTCAATTTCGCTAACTGAATTTGTGAGTGTACTCAATTAATTTAGAAAGTTAAACCTTGTGTTCTGGTAGAGATGGTAATGAAAACAGGTACCCGTGGATATTCTCAAATGCTTATTTTAAATGCTGTATAAATTGCAGTGAAGTAGAGTAAATACACAATCGGACACTGGAGCCTGAATCCCAGTCTCACGATGGACCACCTGTGTAAGTTGGAAACATTACTTAATCTTTCAGGTTCCTCATCTGTAAAATAGGGATAATAATTCTATCTACTTTGTAGTTTTTTATGAGGATTAATGAATTAATAGGTGTGAAGCTCATAGATGAGTCCTAGCCCGCAGTATGTGCTTAATAAGTGTTAATCACTTCTGTCACCAAACTTTTAAAAAAGATATAAAATAGCCACTTTGATGTGGAGTGACCTCTTATATTACCAGTCGCATCAAGGCACAGAAGAACTTTCTCTTCCTGGAGTACGGGAAGAGACAAGAGCCAGTTCTCCTCTGTACAGTTGTGCGGTTTGTTCCTTGCCCAGCCTCAAGGCAGAACTGTTCACATTATCGTTTATGTGAGCACCTCTCCAGCAGGGTATGGCCTGGCCAACTGCACAATCACCATGCAAGAAAAATGTGCACATTAGACAGACTCAATTATTCAGAGTATTGCTATAGATAGTGACCAATTGCCTCTATACTTTTCTTGTGATGAACTTCCCAAAGCAAGCCCTCACCTTAGGTAATCAGATTGACTCTTAACTGGAAAGATGAACCAAAGGCTAGAGGTTACGGGAAGCCTAATAGGTACTGAGTGTTCCCGTTCCAAATGAAAATCAGTTTCAGGTCTTAGGTAAGTGGGAGGTGGTTCCTGGTAGAAGTAATTACATCTTTCCTGACTTCTGCTCCAGTCCGGCAGGGTTGGCCAATGTTGCTTGGCAAGGTTATTCCGATTCTGGGTGTTAACTCTGAGAGACGATCAGGAGGAAACTGATTTTCCTACACTTACTGGCATTAGAGACCAGTTTGTTTCATCCATCAAGAAAAGGAAAGATACTGCAAAGATTTCCCTTCTGTTAAAAATTTGGGCCATTTAGCCTACAATTTTTTCCTAAAAGTTTTCTTTTTGTGTCTTCTATAGACAATGGTGGTTGAAGATGGTTTCACTGTATATAGAGCACATTCTGCGGGAACTTGATATTTAAACTACTTCTCTCACTTTTGTCCCAGCCCACCCCTACTGACTTTAAAACTCTGTGCTTTGAAGATATTCAGATCCCAGACACGTCCATTAGTCTCGTAATGAGTACATTTTATATAAAATGAAACATAAAATGAAAAAGCTTATTGTCCGGATGATAATAGGAGTGCTGTGTGACAAATGGTCTTCCATATTTTGTGGACTATGAACACTGAACAATGTGTCCTTTGAAGACAAACATTGTTTTCAAAAGGTTAAATCTCTGAAGATAAGCATTTTTCAATCACAAATCCTTTCCCCCAAATGTGTATTTTGTATTGCACAAAATGGATCACACTAGCACAGGAAACTGATAAATAGTAAGGCAAAATATTAAGATGTTATCAAGAATTATCTTACTCAAATATTACAAATGATAGCTATTAGGGTCTTAGCAGATACTATATTTTTCAAAGCACATTTTTGCATACTGTTTCATTCTCACTATGGCCACTTCAGTGTAGGCAGGGAGCCCTGATTATTCTTATCTGACAGTTGTGGGAATAAGGTCTGGAGTGAGTCAGCAGTACAGGCGTAGACAGAAGCCTGTGACTTGGTTATTATATCTCACCTCTGTAGCCAACCCTTGTGTGGTCATAGGATGGGATTAGTTCAAAACCTCTGAACATGTCTTCCAACTTTCAGACTCCACCCTTCTACAACAAAAGATGTGCTTCTCACTAGACAATGCTTTTAAAAACATTGCTTTTTTCCCATCACCACACTATTTTGAAACTCTGGGTGGTTCTCCACTTCTGAAAGGATTCCATTAGCCTTCACAGAATGCACTTTCAGTATGACCCTCCTCTGCTGTTCTAACTCATGTGCAGATTCCTCAATGCAAACTCTCATTCCAGCCAAACCAGTGTGTATATTTCCCATAGCAAATGTCATAATCGCATCTGACTTTGCTCATGGTGGTTTGACTAGGGAAGATATCTCCTGATGGCCCATCCATACTTGTCAAATCTTACTTAGTGCCTGGAGCCTCATCTGCCTACATCACTCCTGACTGATATTACCTTCCACTAGTAGCATCAAAGTAGACCAGCATTTTCTAATGGAAGTCTAATGAGAATCACATATATAATTTTAAATTTTCTAATAGTCATATTAAAAAGATTTAAAAAGTAAAATCAATCTTAACAGACATTTCATATAATAGATACAAAATACTATTTCAATATGTCAGCAATGTAAAAATTATTAATCATATATTTTCCTTTTTTTTCATACAAAGTCCTCAAAATATGATGTGTATTTTACATTTAATAGCACATCTCAATTCAAACCAATCTCATTTCAAGTGATTAATAACCAACCACATGTGGCTAGTGACTGCCATTTTGGACAGAGCAGGTCCATACCACTCAGTTTAACAACTCTGTATAAAGTAATACTGTGGGTTAAAATAGATTATGTATATGTTTGCATGTAAAACTTTCTTGAGGGGAGGTAGTTATTGTTTAGAGAGGCATTATTCAATTATTCATTTATCCATTCTTCCAATGATTGAACATTACTATAAGGGTCACAAACATGAATGAAACCCTTCAGTATGAGGATCTCACAGTCACTCTAGAGTCATATATCTAGAGTTATATACCTCAAAGCAGAGAAAGAGCTCCCCTAAGCTTGTGGGGGTACAATTTTATGTCCTTATGATGATACTATTCTGATACCCACTGCCTCTTATCTCCTAGTTTCCCAAATTAGTGACTGGCTTGGATGTCTACATTATTAAGTGACCCATGGTTTGGTCTGGGAATGACCATCTGAAAACATGGGAAGTCATACAACTGTCACATTTCTGTTACAATTCTTTTGAGTCAAATAAATACATTAGAGAACCAAAACAATTACAGTTGACCCTTGAACCACATGAAAATTCTTTTCAATAAACACCATAAATGTATTTTCTTTTCCTTATGATTTCTTAATAACATTTTCTTTTCTTTAACTAACTTTATTGTAAAAATACAGTTGATAGTATATTACATACAAAGTATGTGTTAATTGGCTGTTTATGTTATTAGTAAGGCTATGAGTAGTTAAGTTTCGGGGGAGTCAAAAATTATAAATGGGACCCTGGCTGGTGTGGATCACTGGATTGAGTGTCAGACTGTGAATCAAAGGGTTGCTAGTTCGATTCCCAGTCAGGGCACATGCCTGGGTTGCAGGCCAGGTCCCCAGTAGGGGCCGCACAAGAAGCAACCACACATTGATGTTTCTCTCCCTCTCTTTCTCCTTCCATTCCACTCTCTAAAAATAACTGAATAAAATCTTCAAAAAAATTTATACATGGGTTTTGGACTGCGTGGGGGTCAATGCCCCCCTAACCCATCATTACCATGTTGTTCAAGGGTCAACTGTAGTTACATTGTCATAATAGAAACAGACCCTAACAGAAAATATAACACGAATTTTCTGCTTGAACATCATCATCAGAGGGACGTCTGGGAATTTCTCTGGCTCACAAGGCAGCTGATTCTAATTTTAGACACATTTAAATTTTAGAAAGTTCTTTCTTGAGATCCATCTCCCTGTAACTCTTTGAAGTCCAAATATCTCAATTTTAGAGAGAGGTGGGGAAAACTGAAGTCTCGGCTAACAAGTTTATTATTGCTAAAGTAGGGAGTCAGTATTAAAAAATTTTAAAACTTTTCACTTGTGGTGTTTTTCAGTATTTCGATATATTCATGTAACTGGTATTTCTTCACTGAAATGACACCACTAAAGAACAAACTAGTTTGTAACACCCAGACTGTGCTTTGCTCTCTGGATTCCACTTCTCTTTCAGATAAAAAGAGTTCTACCCAATGGGTATCACTTCTTCAGAAAAGTATTTTATAAAATGTTGTACATATTTTTCCCCACAAAGGCCAGATGTGTTTTGCAAATAATGACTAAACAGAAACCCTTTTCTTAATAACCCTCTCAACTTGTCTAGAGTCAAACATTGCTTTGATTTTAATTCAACGGTACTTGACTATTTTAAAAACATGCCAGGCATCAAGACCAGGCATGTATAAGTCTTAGGCATATGCTTAACAGATACGTAACCTTGGAAAAAACCACCTGGTTTTCTTTTATGTGTTTTGGATTGTGTATTAAAAAGATGAATAAAAGCTTACTTTGAAGAAAGTCAAGGTATTGTGAAAAATAGATCTAAGATCAGGGTTATTTGATTCACTAACTAAAGAAATGCTAAATAGCGACTTTCAAATGAATTTTTCTCTGGTTTATTTTTGTATGTAAAATACATTTAAAAAACAAAAGGAAGAGATTGGTAATCTTTACAATTGCATTTTAAAATGTTTATTTCCACTGTATTCTTTTAGACTTTACAAGAAGGATTCAGCAATCAAATATGATGCTCTCTCTCAGAAAGGAAATAGAAAGGAAAGCTTGTGATTATTGGAAGAAAAAGTAGGACTTACCATGAAAATGGCCAGAGCCCCTGTGGCTCTGAGAAGCAGTGAAGTCATCGTCTCTGTCTCCCGCTGAGCAAATCCCCAGGAGCTGCTGCCTCCGTCCTTCCACCCTCCGCACAGGTCTCTGCTGTCTTCTCGAGTCTACAGATGGCCTGTTATGCGGTTCCTCCCCACCCTAACCCAAGGATTGGTCTCACCAGCAACGCTTGAATCACTTTTGCTTCCAGGTAAAAACTTAGACACACCTCAATTCCTAAAGCAATGAAATCCTTTGTTGGAAGCTGAAGGAGTTCACAGGCTAAAGACCATGTTTAATGGGAAGGTACCAGATGAATAATAAACGAATCATGGTGTGGCTGTGTACAAGCTAGTCCTGACTACACTGAACAAGAATCCACTTGGCTTCTTCTCAGGGTTTCAATTAAAACTGAAAAGCAGAACAAAACACAAAAATTCCCCAAAACCTAACTGGTGGAAGGGCATTTATTTCTGGCCTGTCTGTATGTGGGTAGATCTAAAGTGAAGCAAAAGGTAGGTGTTAAGTAATAATATATTTTATTGAAAATAACTACAAATCTGAAGAAAAAACCCACCACATCAAGCAGCTATTAATGCAGGTTTTAAATGAAAATAATTAGAAATACAATTGGAGTAAAAAGTGATATGATTGGAGCCCTGGCTGGTCTAGCTCAGTGGATTGAGCAAGGACCTGTGAAGCAAAGGGTCACTGGTTCGATTCCCAGTCAGGGCACATGCCTGGGTTGCAAGCCAGGTCACCAGAAGGGGACACATGAGAGGCAATTACACATTGATGTTTCTCTCCCACTCTTTCTCCTTCCCTTCCCCTCTCTCTAAGAAATAAATAAATAAAATATTTTTTAAAAAGAGTTCTATGGTTGGTGCCTTCGGTATTTGAACTATATAAATAATGCATTGCAAAAATCAGATCTGTGATAATAATCACATGACATCTTTTCTGTTGTATTTCATTTAATTTATGTTTTTTAAAAAGGTAGCTTGCCTAGTAAAGTAGGTTATCTTTGTGCACTTTTACTCACTTAAGACATTTCCCCCAGAGCGGACCACCCGCCCACTGCCCCACACCTGTGTGCTTCTCAACATCTGGACTCCAGCCTGAGTTAGGGGGTAGCGAGAAACTACCAGCACGGTTTCAGGTCGCTTATCGCACTAGAATCAGGAGCACTTTTAAATATTCCAGAATATTTAAAGAAAGGTTTGGTGGAAGAGCAATTTTATCTTTATAAATATTTATGTACCAGGCTTTGGAAGCTTTTTCGTTTCAGGGACACCAGCTTTTAGGCAGAAAAGCTCTTGTTGTCTACAAGCTGGAAAAGAACACTGTAGACAAAAATCTAGGGGGAACAGTTTGCGTGTTTTCAATTGTGGTCAAATGTACGTAACAAAATTTACTATTTCAACTACTTTGAAGTGTCCAGCTGAGTGGCATTTAGTTCGTTCATATTGTTGTACAACCGTCACCATCATTTGTCTCCAGAAAAATCTTGCTTTTGTCATATAGTTTTTGTAAATAAAGTTTTGTTGAAATACAGACATGCCCATTTGTTTATGTATGATAATGTCAATAGTTGCTTTTGTGGGACAAGGGGAAGTGGAGTAGAGCTGAGTAGTTGGACAGGGACTGTGTGGTCAGAAAGCCAAAATTATTTACTGACTTCCAGAAAATGTTTGCTTTATTTATTTACATTCAGGAAATGTTTGCTGACCCACGGTTGCCACCATACACCTTAATAGTAGTATCTGTGACAAGGCTGATGGGCGTTGACTCCAATAGAGAAATAATTAGTAAATATTTTAAATCCACTTTCACTTGGAAAGAAAATTTCTAAAGATCAGGTTTATTTTTTTAGATGTCCCTCTAAATTCCAGGGTGCATATTTTATGCAGGTTTTTATTAGAATCAGAGAGTGAACGACTACTGAATTCTTTCCAACATGGAAAGATGGGAGCACAGGGAAAAGTCTTTTCTGAATTATGGAATAATTTCTTGTGACTGGACTAATGAACAAATATGAGGAATACAGGCTGGATGAACATTATTAAATGTATTAGTAGTGCAGAATTCAGTGATCATAAGGTTGATTACTTTCTGATTTCAGTATTTGAGTTTGTTTAAGATTGGTGAGAATTTTGGGTTTATATGTTTATATATTGGGCTTTTTGCTTATAACATAATGAGAGGAAATACATATGCATAGGCAAAAGCTAGGAGGTATCACCATAATATACTAGAGCTTAGTTTTTGAATGAGGTGGTTATAGCTATTGTAGGGGAACTCACTTTTGTGATGCAACATGGCTCCAGCAGCAAAGGCATCTGGGAAATGTCGAACTCTCTGTGACTGTTAATTATGTTAGTGTTTGACTCTCTATAACCTCAGGCTCAGCTGACTACCCAGAGAACCAGAGTGCCAACCAGAGACAAATGTCATGCCCCCAGGAAGGAGGTTAATGAATGTACACAGTGTAATAACTGCCTGATGTTATCTGTTAACTTAGGAATGCACTGTTCTTTCTGGTGGTCTATGTGACCACCCACCATGTGATTTTACTATTAAGCCCGTATAAAAAGAACCTCTCTCCTGGGTGCAGCGTGGATTCTTCCTGGCCTGCCACCACTGAAAGCAGATGCTTTGCCCACGTAGGTAAGTTTCTTCTTTGAAAGTTCATGAGTTTGAATACAGCCATGTGTCGGTTCTTCAGAATCAGTCCTGAATTTAGACTTTTGGGGTTTTCCTCCAACAGTTGTATTTAATTAATTTTTTTAAGTATGTCCTTATATACTTTCTGGTTTTTTTGGTAGTGAGAATGTATTAGTTTTATAATTAAAAAGTTATTTAAAAAATAATATGAGTATAGCAAGCCTTTATAAATAATGTAAACTTTAGGTCGGGGAAGAGGAGAAAAATGTAATGAATTTTTAATTCCTTCCTTTACCATTATTTAAAATCTTGCAATTCTTCAGAGTTTTATTGTGCTAAAGATGGAAGAGATTTTAAAAACAACTGCAGTGAATTATGATATCCCTGGGCGTGTCCACATGTCGCTGTGTGGACTGAATTCTAGATATGACTTACTTTGCTCTGATGTGTCTTCCCTAAAACTCCAGTTCTTTGACAATATTAATGAACAAGGGCTTACCAATGTCAATTATCATTCCACTTTTTCTTTACCTGGACATAGGTTAAGGATTTAACTGGTATTTCCCTATTGTATTTTGAAACACCACCTGAGGATGGTGGTTGGGTGCTGTGTCAAGGATGGGGCACCCCTAGGAGAGCAAATACCATTCTTGGTCTGATGCGGGCTGGCTTTATCTACTTGTCCAGTCAAGGAGAGCTGGAGAGAGCGATGACAAATCCCATCTGGAGCTCTGCAGACAGACGGGGCTCTCTTCTGCGTGCTCTGGATAGTGCTTTAAGATAACATTTTCTTTCCTTTGGAGGACTGGGGACCTTGGTCAGGTAATAAACCATCCTGGTGCTGGGGCCACATACACATGGTTACAGGGAGGTAATCAGGAAGGCGCTGTGATGCTTTCACTTGCTATTTTGTGAAAAGAAAAGAAGGGAGAATTTTCTGTTGAGTTGTTATCTTATTATGCTCTGGATAACAATGGCTTTGGAAATCTAAGCCCAACCTGAAACTGGCTCTTACTCAAGAGGCTGAAATAAAAAGGAGGATCATCATCATCATAATAACCATAATCACTGAAAGGGAGCTTCATTGTATGCGCACGCTGTGCTTCTCCTCATGGACCATATTGAAAGTGTAACAGGTGGACAGCAGATACAACACATCACAGGTTTAAAAAGCTGAGGAAACCACTCTTCAATTTGCTAGAAACTGAAGCTGAACGAATGGAGTGAAGCAGCAAGAATGAATATTTATTCAAGGGCTCAGTGGCTTCAGAGGTTTCTGTGACATTTCTAATGCTCATTATCTGTGGCAGTTCTGTTATTCATCAGGTAGAGAATGTTAATAAGACTTGGCTTTCACTGGCAAGCCTTCACTTGTCTTCGTTTGTTTTGACTGGAAGCATATATTTAATATGTTTTGTATGTCAGACATTACTACTTTTGATGTGTAAATGTTTTTGAATGTCTCCACATGCATGAATTAAGATATTGGTCCCACAAATTATGTATTAACAAAATTATACGTATACCCTGAAATGGTCTCAGAAGTTGTGATCATCACTGTCGGTTACTTAAGGTGAGCCACGGAAATCACACACCTGTTCCATTAGGATCATCACCTGAAGACACTCAGAAGTGTCAGAGAATGTAATGGCTGTGCACCTGGAGGGAACAGTCTGCACTTTGTAATTAGTGAGCATAGAGCTGGTGATTCAATTTCCCAGTAGATAATAGTTATGTAGCAAGATTCACCATGGTCCTGTGAATCCTGGAATTATTTATTTAAAAATGTGTGTCTTTTTTTATCATATATTGAATCAAGTCGAACTTCAGAAAGGTACATATGGGTGAATCACACATTAAAATAATTTTTTTTACTTAATCTGTGCATCCAGGTCAATGCCTTTTTTTGCTTTGACTTGGTTTAATTAAGCCATTGCTTATTTGTGGCAATATTTTTTGTAAAGTAGTAAACAGAGTAAAGAAGGAATTTTTGAAATGCACTTTGTTCGACAAAGTGTTTCTTTAGGAAAAGGTTTTCTTTGGTTCTTGTGGTTTGTTGCAGGTAAAATTGAAAGGTGGGATCTACTGACATAATGCATTTAGAATCCATGTAGTTTCTTTTCCCTGGGCTTCCTCTACACTCTCCACATTCCTGACATCTCTCATGTAGCTCAGGCAATGGGTCTGTGACTGAACTCTTATTCCTTTCTTGCCTTATTCAATGCACCCCCTGCTCAGCAACCTGAGTGCTATTTTTAAAAGGATGTAGCTTCCAATGTACTTGGAACAGAATCAAAACTGCCAGTCATGGTTTAACTGAGAACTAGCCTGATCCATTCCCTGTTTTCCCTTCCAACCACAACACGCAAACCCTTCCTCTCACATGCACCTTCATTTGTTCTTCAAAAACCCTCAACTCTTTTTCTGCCTGTGGTCTTCACTTAGTTTCTCTCCCTCCCTCCTAGCTGGCTTCTCATTCATTAGATGGTAGTTTATGTGACCTTCTCAGAGAGGTCTTCTTGCTACCCACACATGAACACATTTATCAGCATTATTATTTTTTTAAAAAAACATTTTATTTATTTACTTTTAGAGAGAGGAGAAAGAGGTAGAGAAACATCAATGTGTGGTTGCCTCCCATATACCCCCCAGGGGGGACCTGGCCTGCAAACCAGGCATGTGCCCTGACTGGGAATTGAACTGGTGACTCTTTAGTTCAAAGGCTGGCACTCAGTCCACGGAGCCATTCCAGTCAGAGCTCCATTATTATTCTTTTATCAGTCATTCCAAATTGCTTCCTGGGGCTAAGTAATGTGTAAGGTTGTTATTTCCTGGTAGGATTGTTTATATTGCCTTTCTCCACCACTTGACTGTGAGCTCTATCAGTGAGGAATCATGTCTGTTTCATTTAGTAGTATATTCCCAGGGCTTTGCAGAGTGAATAAATGAATATGTCTTTAAAAATTTTGTGTAAGTCTAACTGCTGGATCAAAGGGCAACATATAGTTTTAGTTTTTCATGGTCATGGTATCACCCCTGCCAGGTAAGTATTAGTTTTAGTTTTTAATAGATTGTCTTCTAAAAGGCTTTATACCAATTTACATTTCCCCTGATAATGCAAGAAAATGCCTGTTCCTCCTCCTCGTCAGGCATAAAGTTTGTTATAGGCAATTCTTTTCTG